AGTGCTCATGCTATGCCCCAGCATCTTTACCTCTGTAGAGTTTAAGATTCCAGACTCACATGAGATTAGTAATAAGAGGCAAACCTCTTTTCCATTGTTTCCAGTTCTGCTGAGCATTTGAACTGTTAGTTGCTACCTATGTAGGCTTCTCCCCAGGTAAAGATATTTTTGTATTTATACCAAGATCTTCACCTCAAATAATTTTCTCCACTGCTGCTCATTCTTGAAATGAAGGACTATTTTAACTTCTGTCTCTGCAAGTAGGGAGCAGAAATCTGGAGGGAATGTGATTTCTCTTGCCACTGCGCGCACAACTGGGCTGCAGGTGTGGGCCGGCGGAGTGAGGATGCAGACACTCTCGCCATCTGGGAAACAGAGAGCAAGACATCACTCTCTTTGCGTGGTCGGGTGAAGAGTAATTACTGTCTGCACTCTGCCCATTAGAGAGAAGAGAGAGATTTACTTATGTAGAGGCTGTGCCTATGGCGGAGGACATGTGTTTCTGACATCTAGGGCCCCGTGTGTGACGCTGGCTGTATTTGGCATAATTCTGGGGGAAATAGCAGTATTATTGGGCAACAGTTGGGCTCTATTACGGGTTCATATGTCATCGGTTGGCTGTCTGAGAACCTAACAATTGTTTATGTGTTGTTTTGTTTTTTCAATAATGGAAACCGTGTCCTGGATTCCAGACTGCCAATCCATAAAGGGACTTGAAGAATGCACTCATTTTCTACGAATGCAGTTGTAGGGTAGTCCCTCTTCATTTGAAGTTTTGGTTTCCGTGGTCTGTTACCTGTGCTTAACCACAGTCTGAAAATATTATATTAGAAAATTCCAGAAAAAACAACAACAATTCACGACTTTAAAATTTTATGGTGTTCTGAGTAGCATGATGAAATATTGCGCCATCCCGCCCTGTCCACCCGAGACTGAGTCATGCCTTTGTCCAGTGTCTCCACGCTGTAGACATTTCAGTCGTCGGAGAGAGACCACATTCACATAACTCTTATTACAGTGTATAGTTATAATCGTTCTGTTTTACTAGTTATTGTCGCTAACCTCTTACTGTGCCTAAATGGTTATGTATATATGTATGTATAGGAAAATGCATAATATGTACAGGATTCGGTACTATTCATGGTTTCAGCATCCCTGGGTCTTGGAACATACTTTCCCCCTCCCCCGATAAAGGGGGTCGGGGAGAAGGCTGGAGCTACTGCCAATTCTTAGTTCAGCCGTGCTACTTCAGCACCCAGTGTGTGCAGAGGCCACAGATGATCACAGAACTGCCTCTTCCTCCCTCCCTGCAGCCACCGCAGTTTGAAAACAAGCCAGTCTCTTAATCCTGAAATCCTAATGCAGGGAAAGTTACATTCTTAGAACCCAGTTCCTGGAACAGTGTTTAGTGTTTCTGAAGACTGTCCTGCTGCACCAGGTGGGCCCCTGCCTAGGACACACCTTTGGCTCTCTCTCTCTCTCTCTCTCTCTCTCTCTCTCTCTCTCTGGCATTTTCAGGGGTGTGCACCTACAGCTGCTGCTCCTGCCTCTCACTCTGCAATTACTTAAGTCTAAGAAACCTGCCTCCTGGGGAAGATTTATCCCTAATATTTAATTATCCAATCAAACCCTAATTGGAAACCATAGAGGGAGAGAGTGTGCATGTGTGTGTGCGTGTGCGCGCGCACATGTGTGTGAGGGGGGTTGACTCTTGAGACTGGAAAAACCACATGGGTTCCAGCCTACCCCACCCATCATTCCTCCTTGTCTTCTAATGCGTGATGGAATTGGGGGTATCCCGTGCAGCATTGCCCACCGGACCTATTATTAACAGTTTAGAGCTGGAAATACTCTAGTTTTCTACAGGACACACAGAAGCCTTCTGCGCGGCCACTTTAAAGCAGTAAATATTATGTTGCTCACCATTGAGCAAAGGGCCCGAGTCCACTCTGTTCCCTGAGGCTGCAGCTGTGCTCACTGGCACCTGCTGCCCTTCTCTGCGGCCTTGCTGGTGCCTGGGTACAACCGCCAGGGTCGTTCAAGGTCTAGCTGTGTGGCCTGCACCTGGAGGCTGCCTGCTCAAGGCCGGTCCAGTGCCACGGCCCAGATGGCTGTGTTTCAGGCGTGCAGCCCAGGCCTGGTTTCCTTGAAGTTACCTGGGCAGTCCTCCTCCTGTGGAAACACTTAACCTGTGGACAAAGCAGTTTTCCACTCAGGTTAAAAGAATGAATGGTTTTAGGCCTAAAGTCTCTTGCCCAGTCTGTGCTATTTTAACACCAACATCCCAGCTGGAAAAGTGAGCTGGATTGCAGGATTTAGGCTGCAAACCACCAATGTGAAGAAAACATTTGGCTCGTACCCTGAACCGAAGTGCCATCCACCTTGCCCCCGGGACAGAAGCCCCAGTTACCCCACGTGTGGTTTGCTCCCATAAACTTGACTCCTTGTTTATGTCTCATGGCTCGTTGCCTAGGTAACATATTTACAGTTTGGAGAGGGCTCAATCAATAATATCCCCCTTTCAAGACTGCTATTCCGAGTGGCTGATTGTTAAAGTACAGATGGCCTCCTGCAGTGGTAGGTGAATGGCTGTTGCCCAAAGCCCTGTGTGCTTCTTTGGGTTCATCAGCCACCGCAGCCTTTTCTGGGTGAGTCCTTGGGCCTCTCCAGCATCCAGGAACCGAAGGGGACGTGCCTGGCTCCCCAGGGACTGGCCTCCCAGGCCTGCTCCAGGGCCGCGGCCAGGACACGGTCAGGATTGCTCGTTCACTCTTTTGAATATCATTCCTACCTTCTTCCTCTCGCTGGTTATGAACCATTTGAGAAATAAGAAAAAGAGCAAGGTGGGCAGGTTGTCATAGATGAACTTATAGATGAGTTATGATGACAGGACTTCATCTATAATGATGGGTGAATTTTAGACGAGAGCTAGTTTGAGGGACAGAGACTTACTGACCCCCCGTGTCACTGTAGTGCAGAACAGGGCACCGTCAGGCCACCACCCCTCCCCCTTCCCCTGTGGGGACAGGGCCTGCTCCTGGGGGGCAGCGGGGAGCTTGTGCCCTCTGTGGGCAGGGCTGGGACTAGGGTAGGAGAGTGAGGCACTTGCCTCAAGTTATGAATTTAAGGTTCCCCCCCAAAACCTCAGTGATCAAGATAAGTAATTTTTAGCAAATTATCTTTAAAAATCGCTATTAGTGCAAGAAATCCATGATGAATGAAAACCAAAAGTTTAAAATAAAGGCAGGGTCAGTATTACCAACTTTTCTCCTTGTTCCAGGCTTCAGTGTGGCTCAGTGGGGCACTGCTCCTCATCCCTCTTAAATGTAGTGCCTGAGACAAGTACGTACCAAATGATTTCACTGAGATGTGGGATCTAATGAACAAAATAAACTAACACACAAAATAGCCCTAGAGAACCACTAACCACTTTCTGTGTCTACAGACTTGTCTATTCTGGGCACTTCATGTAAATGGTACATAATATGTAGTCTTTTGTGATTAGCTTCTTTCATTAAGTATAATGTTTTAAGTTGTAGCATTGCATCCATGTTGTATGAATCCATATTCTATCCCTTTCTGTTGCTGAAGAATATATCAGTTGTAAGGTTTACAGCATGTTGTTATCTGTTTACCAGGTAAGGGACATTTGGGTTGCTTTTACTTTTTGGCTATTATGAATAATGAGAGGCCTGGTGCATGAAATTTGTGCACTGGGCGGGGGGTGTCCCTCAGCCTGGCCTGTGCCCTCATGCAGTCAGGGAGCCCTCAGGGGATGTCTGACTGACGACTGGGAATGAACCTAAGCTGGCAGTTGGACATCCTTAGCGCTGCTGCAGAGGCGGGAGAGGCTCTTGCCACCACCGCTGCTCTTGCCAGCCGTGAGCCTGGCTTCTGACTGAGCGGTGCTCCCCCTGGTGGTGGGTGAGGATCATAGCGACCAGTCATTCAGCCATTCAGTCGATTTGCATATTAGCCTTTTATTATATAGGATAGGATACTTCTATTCAGAATCATGCTCATTCCTGTATAAGTTTCTGTGTGGACATTTGTTTTCATTTCTCTTTACTAGATACTTGAGAGTAGAGTTGGTGTGTCATGCAGTAACTCTATTTTACATTTTTAGGAACTTCCAGTAGAGTACCTATTTAACTATTAAGAGTCAACAATTTTTGCCTGGCTGGTGTGGCTCAGTGGGTGAGCGTTGTCCCATGCACCAGACGGTCACAGGTTCAATTCCTGGTCAGGGCACATGCTCGGGTTGCGAGCTCCATCTCTAGTAGGGAGTGTGCAGGAGGCGGCTGATCAATGATTCCCTCTCATGATTGATGTTTCTAATTCTCTCTCTCCCTTCCTCTTTCTGAAATCAATTTTTAAAAAATTTTTAAAAAATCAACTTTTTTTCAACTCTGAAATGGGATGAGTTTGAGGTAGAGAATGAAAACAGGGAAAAGATAGTGCCAACTCCCTATCGAGCATGTCAAACTGTTGCGAGTTTGACATGCTTGCAGATCGTCACTCATCTTCCGCTCCTTGGCAGTGCCTGCCAGGTCTGCCTGGCGATCACCCTCCAGGGAAACACAGGGACCCTCTGAAAAGCGAAAAGGGCATCGTTACTAATTATGCTGGGACCACAGGCATAAGCTGGGACTGTCTTAGACAAATTAGGACCAATGCTCACTCTTTCAACCAACAAGAAGGAAACTGTTATCAGATTCCTGTTTCTTCTCTCTTATGACGAATAAGATTCACCGAGAGTCGAGAGGAGGCATCGAAAATGTGAAGTCAGTCTCTGGGGGAACAGTGGCAGTGTCTGCCTTCCATGGGCCCCATGCCCTCAGATGAAAAAGGGGTGATACTTTAGCTAATGATACCTGAATGACCCGCATCTGTAATCATAGGTCCTAAACGTAAAAAAAACAAAGTGACTGGAATGAGTCAAGTGGTGACTTGTTCATTTTTCTAACATTTCCGTGAGTTAAATATTTTATTTCTTCCAGGGAACAGCTTCAGAACATCTCAGACTAAGGAACTCTCAACTGTGCGGAGAAGAACATCGAAGATGGACAATTTTTCCTTCCCTCTCATTGGAAAGGATTTAAAAAAGAACTAAGGTGGCAGAGGTTTTGAGTTCATCTTCAGGATGAATGAATTTAGTTCAGGAGACAAGCCAGAAGACGACCTGCAGCCCTTATTTGTCAGCGACAAAAATGGAAACACTTATGCATACCGCCCCAAACCCCCACCTCCGCAGAGCTGTTCGGCAGGCTGTTGGCATTCTGCCAACCCAGACGACATGGTGGTGGATTACGAAGCCAACGCTGCTGCGGACGGTGGTGAAAACATGGCCTTAACCCCCCAGTGTGTCGAAGAACTTGATCACCAAAAGGCTCCAAGTGATTTCTCTGGCCCCGCACACGCTGTAGTCACAGGGGAGCCCAGGTACCCGCGTAGCTGCTGTCATTCCCTACGGTCCCCTCAGGGCCAGAGTGAGGAGACATCTCCGCCTTTTGCGTGGGAACCCCAGGAGGGCGATTGGAGCTGTGCAGACTGCCCAGATGCCTTGCAGCTAAACCAGACCTTTGACATGAGCGTGGATAACGCTGCCTGCGCCTTTGCAAAACACTACGCCGTGGGAAAGAGCCAGTCTTTGCACGCCTCTGGGAGCCTGCAACCAACTGGCATGAGAAGTGGAAATACATCTCTATCCTGTTCTGTTCGCCCATCTTCCCATTCTGATAAGACACACGTGACAGGGACGAGTTATGATAGAAGCGTCTTTAAAAGCCCTGTGGCCACAGCCTCAGAGGCCCAGGGCACAACGTACACAGCGTTTTCTGAGGTGCTGATGCAAACTGAGGCTTTTGTTCCCGATGCTGGAAATGCCTGTCCGTATTCTTCAGGAAATGTCACCAGTGAGTACACAGATGGGCCACAGCAAAGACTAGTTGGAGAAAAAGAGATACACACTCTGACACCAGTTTCTGATGGCATGGATGTTCCCAGCGGGTCTGCAGTAAAGGAGTTCTTTTGTTTATCTAACGATGAACCACATAGTGAGACACATTCAGCGAGCTCATATGGGCCAAAGGAAATGGGCCAAAATCTAGGAGAAACAGTGTCTGGTTGTCTTATCGATGACGAATGCCCTTGCCTGGTGCCAGCTTTTGATAACAGCACAGCCCCAGTGCTGTGCCCGGAACCCAAAGTCACCGGGGCCGAACACACACAGATTGCCCCCCATGAAGAGGACCTGGAAATCCAAAATCATACCATAGAACTGGCCCCAGGTAGCCCCCCTGGACATTCACTTGAACTGACTTGGGATGAAAACGATATGGTCATTAGCGCAAATGACACCATTTGCATGTCCACGCCAATCCCCAACCCCCTGAATGCAACCTTTTTTGTTTCCCCCGTCGAGGCGACGGAGAAATGTAGTAACCTGGAGAAGAGTCACCGAGAACTTTCTAAACCGAACCTAGGAAAGCCAACCACCAAAGCAAATACCCCGATCGGCAGCAAAGTCAGAAAGAACAAAATCATAAGTTACCCAAGACCGAACTTCAAGAATGTCAAAGCAAAAGTGATGTCGAGGCCTGCATTGCAGTCCCACGACCCTGCTTTGTCAAAGGTCACACCCAGACCCCAGCTGACCAGTGCCTCCTCATCCCCCTCGTCGGTGTCTTCCTCGAGACAGTTGACAGTGCTGAGCAAAACACGGAGATCCGACTTGAACGCAGACACGAAAACAGAAACCCCAATTAACAAGACCCAGAAGCAGCAGTTGAATAAACTCATCACGAGCCAGGCTGAGCGTGTTGCAACTCATTCTAAAAATGCTTCCCACAAGGTTGCAAGAACAACACCTGCCCTGAAATCGAATCGGGAAGATGTTGACAAAGCCAGTTCTTCTAATTCGGCTTGTGAGCCTGGGTCCGTGGCTTCGTTTCTCCAGAAGTGCAGGGGCCTGTTCTCGGTGACCATGGAAAGCCCGGAGTGCTTGGAAATGACGTATGTGTCCAACATCCAGAGGACTAGCCCTGAAGAGAAGGGCGAACAGGAAAATGGGGCCCTTCTGGAAAAACAAGACCTAAAGAAGGACATTTTGAATGAGACCTTTGAGTATGGGTCTCTGTTTTTGGTAAGTAAGATTTTTGCCTGCTTCAGGGAGTGGTGGGGGAGACTCGGGCTGTATTAGCAGCTGGTTACCCACTAATTGTCAATCACATTGCAGAGCTAGGTGTACATTTGCTTTCAGTTGTTAATACGCTATCCAGTCATCCTTTCTCTTGTCGGCACATTTTCGAGGGTTAATTGGAAACCTGCACGTTGGGGAAAAGAAATTCCTGAAGCTTGGTATTTTGAATTGAGTATTAATGTTCCTTTGGGTATACAGTAAGCTAGAAGAACCGGCTACTTTACTATTTTAGTGTAATTCGTTATTTGAAGTGACACATCTGATTGTTTTCTATCTATAGGGAAAAAAGGCTTTTTTATGAACTTTAAAATGTACTGGACCACAGTTTAGGAAGGGCTGGGGATGCTGGCACAGTATCAACATAGAAATAGTACCTGGTCTCTTGGTGAGGAAGCAGCTCCGGGGAGTGGGGTCCTCTCCGGTGAGCAGGAGGACTCTGGATCCTGCCTCTGATCGCTCATGTGACTTGGGGCCAGTCATCTTTTGAGAACCCCCTCCCCCACAAGGTGATGACTGAGGTCTCTTGCAGCCCGAACATACTTGATTTCTGGTACATTAAATAAACCCATTTTCTTCTTATAGTAAAAAACTGTGTTTTTCCTATAGCAACTCTCAGATATTTGGGGGGAGGGGAGAGGACTTCATAGTGCCATTTTAAACAACAACAAAAAAGAATTCACATGCAGTTCAAGGATTCCGGAGTTAGACATGGTTTCAAGTTGTAGCTCCATCATTCACTGGCAGAGGGACCTTAGGCGGTTACTTAGTCTCCACGAGGCTCCGTTTTTCCTGATAGAAAGAGAGGATACAGGTGACAGCTTATGTTGTGGGAATTTGCTCTTGGAGGAAGGCCTAGGCGCTCATCTCCTATATTTAGAACGGGAACATTTGTGGGGTACCTGCTGCATGCTACATGGGATGGTGAGGGGATTGTCAAGGGCAGGGGGAAAAAAAAGGAGACATATGTAATACTCTTTATAATAATTTAAGCAATAAAAAAAATATATATAAAAAATTATAATAACTCCTTGATAATGTAGGTATTATATAACCCATTTTGCAAAGGGAGAAACAAGGCAGCTTACTTAAATGTAATTGAGATACATGCATAGCCAGTAATTGGTGGAGGTAGATTCAAATTGAGTTTTTAACCCTGTAGAACACATCTTTTCTTCTATATCATGCCCCTTGTTTATTATGTGTGGCTTTATCAATTTCTGACTATATAATTTCTTATATAATTACACTTCTTTGCCTTATTTGTAAAATAAAGATAATAAAATATTGTTAATGAAAAAACAAACAAAAAACAAACAAACAAAAAAAAACAACAAAAAAAACAAAACAAAACAAAACAAAAAAACAAAAAAAAAAGAAAAGAAAAGAAAGACACAGCCCCTGGCCAATCGCATAGTGTTTAGTACAGTGGGTAATTTTTACTTCTTTATTATTTATTTTTAATCCTCACCCGGGGATATTTTTCCATTGATTTTTAGAGTGAGTGGAAGAGAGAGAAATATCTGTGTGAGAGAAGCACATCGATTGGTTGCCTCCTGCACGCACCCCGACCAGGGCCCAGGCCGGGGAGGAGCCTGCAACTGAGGTACGTGCCCTTGACCAGAATCGAACCCAGGACCCTTGGGTCCACAGGCTGATGCTGTGTCCACTGGTAATACCCAAGCCAGCTAGGGCTGCAGTGGGTAATTTTAGAAGATAAACCAAAAGGGTATTAAGTACTGAGGGTATTAAGTATATATGGGCTGCTGTGCCGCAGGGGTCAGAATGGGGTGGTGGTGAGGGGGAGAGTAGTCATGGAAGGCTTCTTGGGGGGATACTATGTTAGTCGCCAGCTGGAACTTAAAGGGCAAGCATGCATTGGAAGGGCACTCTGGGTGTAGGGAATAGCATGCACAAAGATGAAGAAACAGGGTATCCCCATTCAGGGGACTCCAGGCAGTGTGATGGGAGCCAGGAGTACAGAGCCATAAGCAGTAACCTGGAGAAGACGGTAGGGGCCTGCCTTGTTTGGAGGCTGACTGTACCTGGAAGACAGAGGGAAGCCGCTCTGAACCTAATTTGGACTCTAGAGAGACTGCCTTCGCGGTGGATTGCAAGATGAATTGGGGGCTGGTGAGACCAGAAAGATCCTGAGGATGTGTTTTCAGTAATCCTGCCAAGGAATGATGTAGGCCTGCCCCGAGGTGGGTGCCATAGAGAAGGCCTACAAGGTCATTGGAGAAGGAAGAGGATGCCATGGAGAGGGGTTTAAGAAAGAAGCACCTACAAGAAGCTTTTATTGTTTAAGTTGGGTGTCTGGGAATGTTGTGGTGCCTATGGGAAGAGGGATGTTCTGAGATGGATGGGTGAAGTGAGTTTACTTTTAGAAACTGCTTTCTGTTCTTCCTTTGTAAAATAGAATGTGATGAAAGCTTTGTAGGGTTATGAGGATTAAATGGGTTGATGCATGCATGCATTTCAAACTTAAAATGGTAGTTTTCATCCTGTAAGGACTACATGCAGATCAGTAAACCACAACCACATGATCATTGTCCACATTGTTGGGTAGCGGTGCCTGAAGGATGCCAAGTGGGCAGGTGCAGATAGAAGCTAGATCTCTGGGAAACTCCAGAAAGACTGCTCGCTTGGACATGCGGACTCTGGACATGACAATGTATAGGAGGTTGAAACAGTGCACACAATCATCTAGGGAGAGTACATGGTGAGAGAAGAGAACAGGACCAACTTAGGGCCCTCATGTTGGCTAGCCTTGAAAGGCTTAGAAGAACAGAATCCAGACAAGGAATAACCAGACAGGTGGAAAGAAAACCAGGAAGAACCGTGTCGAGAAATTTAGGAAAGTTGGACTCATCGTCATCAGATGCCACAGAGAAGGCCTACAAGGTCATTGGTCATCTTGGGAACAGTTTTGCTGATGGGGACAGAAGGCAGATAATGATGATTTTAAGAGTAGACTATGAAGAGCTTTAATTTCTTCATGGGAAAAATGAAAATTAAATATTCATCTGGCATCTCTGCTTAACCAAATTGTTCTTTTTAAAAAGATGGATGACCAACATTTATTTCTCACCATTCTGGAGGCTGGGATGGCATAGACGAAGGCACCAGCAGATTCGGTGTCTAGTGAGAACCTGCTTCTTCTCCTATAGCCTCACGTTGCAGGAGGTGGCAAGAGAGCGCTTAGGGGTCTCTTTTGGGCATGAATCCCGTTCATAAGGGTTCTACCTTCAAGACTTAATCAACTTTCAAAGGCCCCATGTCCAAATACTCTCACATTGCAGATTTATGAATTCAACTTATGACTTTTTTTGGGGGGGGGGGCTGCAAACATTCAGTCTATAGCAATATCTATATGTGTATAGCTAGACATGTGTGTATGAATATATAAAGATGCATGTATATGTGTGTGTATATATATGTATAGAAAGATATATAATGCTGATTTTAAGGAACTGGCTTATGCCACATGATGGTGGGGGCTGACAAGTCTGAAACATGTAGAGAAGGTTGAGAGGATGGAAATGGAGAGAAGAGTTGATGTTGTCGTCTTGAGTCTGAAATCTGCAGCCTAAAAACTCAATTTGATTAACCAATATCCTCCCAATAAATTTAAAAAAAATTTTAAAAAGACAGCGCCACAGAAACTAATTGTTTCGTTCACGTAGCTAACACCACGGGGAGTAGCGTGGGGACGGTGTGATCTGAACTCCCATTTTAATTATTTTCTTCGCAGGGTTCTGCTTCAAAAACTGCCACCCCCGCAGGGAGGAATACACCCAAGCCCGACGCTTCCAGTCTGCGGATAACACCTGGTCCGAAAGCCAAAGTGGGCCCTTCTGCTTCCTGCTTGAGGTGCACCAGCAACAGCAGAACGCTCAGTGCTGACCGGACCTTATCTTACCAGAGGATCAGGCGTGCGGCCGGTTCTGGTGAGCATACCGTACTGCAGCGTGCCTTCTAGCAGTGTATGAATTATTCCCATGGAAAGTTAGGCGTGTCGGAAAGCGGAAGGGCAGGTTTTGGTTTTAGAACAAATGCGTTCTGTCATGAAGCCTTTACCTTTGTGGACTAGCATCGTGCCAGGGAAGGTAGGAGAAGTCAGAGACATAGCCATGTACAGGCTCAGTGGGGAGAGATCTATGTGTACGAAACTCACTCACAAGCCATTCAGAAGCATGCGTATAGAGATATATAGCCAGCTACCCGTTATAGATGAATCATTAAAAAATTTTTGAAAAATGGTTACGTGCTTAATAACACTTAAGTGTTATACGCTAAACTTACGGTGTACCCTCACCACATGTGAAAAGATTAGCCTTTAAAAAGATTTTTACTGTAAGATGTTTTAGAAATTTTCAGGGACATAAGAGCAACTAAAAAGTTAAGCTTTTCTAATAGGAACTTTTATTTCTGTTGGTTTGTATTTTAGAAGAAGTAGTCTTAAAATCATATTCGGTTTATGAAATTTGAGAGCTTCAAGAGTAGCTAGCTGTGAAGTGTCTTACTAAATTTGGCAGATGCACAGATTTCTCTGAATGGAAGGCTACTCTTACAAATCAGACCAGGAGTTGCCTCTGTCGTAGGGATGGAAACAGAAAGCCATGGAAAATACCCTGCAGGGAACACCCCTATTGTAACACGTAGGACCTTGAGCAAATGAAAGGCATGTCAGAGAGATTTAGAGGTTTTCTTATAAAAAGAGCGACTATAATTGAATGGTCTAAAAAAAAGTGCCTCTAGCATTGTGTGTTCACACATGTGAGAACACTTTACAGAAACTAACAAACCAGCCAAAACCCAGAGCATCTCTGGACATCTCCACTCCTTGGTATCTATTTTCCAATCCTGTTATGAAGCAGCCTGGGTGAGAACCTGTAACGTGCAGGAGGGTTTTAGGGATGACTTACTTAGAGGCAGGCCTGGCACCAGGGTGCTGAGGTTCTGAGGCACAGAGTCAGGAAGAGGTATGGGTGGAGGAAGAAAAATTAGCAGTGCCTTCATCCTTTGGGAGAAAAACAGAAGAGAAGTGACAGAAATTTGGAGAAGCACCAATCCTTATTTTGTTTTTTGTTTCTTTGTTTTGGTTTTTTAAAATATATTTTTATTGATTTCAGAGAGGAAGGGAGAGGGAGAGAGAGATAGAAACATCAATGATGAGAGAGAATCACTGGTCAGCTGCCTCCTGCACGCCCACTACTGGGGATGGAGCCTGCATCCCAAGCATGTGCCCTGACCAGAATCTAACGGAGACCTCCTGGTTCATAGGTCGCCGTGCAACCACTGAGCCACACAGGCTGGGCATGAGCCTTATTTTGGATATTGCCACGGATGGGGAGTTCAGGCATCAGTGAGATCAAAGCCTTGGTTCTTACTGTTGTTGCTGCCAGACAAGGCTCATGGAGTTTGCCGGAGGATGGGGAGACCTCTTCCTGCTTGGATGTCAGGAGCGCCTGTGGGTTGGTGGCCTGGAGGTGCCACGCCATGGCAGCCTGGCCTGTGGTTAGGAGCCCTGGGTTCCAGGATCACTCTTGCACCAAGAACTGCCTGGGCAAGTCCGTTACCCTCCCTGGCCTTCAGCCTTTGTATCTGTGACGTGTGAGGGTTTAAGAATGTGAGGCCCTGTCAACTTTTGTAGTCATCTTTCTAGGGGCAGTGTGGCCGAGTAGTGGGTACTTCTGGACCACACGATGCTCAAATCCCAGAAAACCTGAAGTGCACATGCTTTTAAGAGATGTGGCCAATATCCGGGACATACAGGGGTGGGCAAAAATAGGTTTACAGTTGTGAGTATGCAAAACAGAGTTTATTCTTGCATTATTATTTATTATTATTAACCTACTTTTGCCCACCCCTGTGTTTTACAAGATGGGCTCTTTTATGTAGATGATTGGTCCCATCAAGGAGTGAATCATTTTTAAGTCCCTTTACTGTATACTGTATAATGGCAATGCTGTAAAGAGAGAAAAATAGGTCTGTTTGGTTTTAATAAAAAGACGGGGAACTTTATTAAGCTTTTATTAACCTGTATAAACAAGCATGATAACTAAGTTCTACATTCAGAGTTTTCAACCTGAGTTAAACACGAAATTATATTTTACTTGGTGGTTTCCCATATATAAATGGAAAAAAAAATTTAACCAGATGCTGTATGGGTTTGCAGTGAAAGACGTGATTATGCTGTGTTATGTTTTTAAAAAGTTAACAGCAGCTCGCTTGTTTGGATGCTCACAGTACATGGGGCGGTGTTTGCTGTAGGGACAGGAAACTTAATCACCGCAGAGTGAAAAGTAGAACAGAACCCAGGAGCAGAAACAATGTGCCCTCAGATCGCCGAGAGCATGTTGCCATTCGCCGTACAATGACGTGTTTGTGTATTAGAAAATCGAAACCAAATGGACATCCTCTGTACTCATACAAAGTTACTGCCCTGAAAGGTAAGCGGCAGGAATGTTCCAGCTGACCTGGGGTTTCAATGACTCCTTTCAGAGGACGAAGCCGAAAACCAGGCCTGGAGTTCAAATAGCCACTTTCTCGAAGCGGTAAAGTGAGTATGAGAAAGAATTGGAATTAAGCACCATGGGGAAAACCAGGGCATTTATACGAAAGCAGATTATAAGGGATTATAACAAAGCGAATCGCAAGTACCCGTTGCTTCTTTGGGGGTATGTGTGTGTTTTAACCACTCAAATAGGATGAGGTAGTGGGGGAAACTATTTTTAATAATAATTATAATGCCAATGATAGCAGCTCACGCTTCTTAAATGCTTACCAAGTTTCAGGCTCTGTCTTAATCATCTCACCTACAAATTCATTTAATCCTCACCACAGTTTTGTGAGGCTTACCCCCATTTTACAGATGAGGAAACCATCACAGAGAAGTTAAACAGTTTGTCCAAGTTATGCAGCTAGAAAGTGGCAGGGGTGGGATTCAGCTCAGGCCATGGGCTCTGCATCCATACTCTTAACCCTCACAGTGTAGCCTAAGAAACTCTGTTATGCCTGGCCGGCATGGCTCAGTGGTTGAGCATTGACCTATGAACCAGGAGGTCACAGTTAGATTCCTGGTCAGGGCACATGTCCCGGTTACAGGCTCGATCCCCAATGTGGGGTGTGCAGGAGGCAGCTGATCAATGATTCTCTCTCTCATTGATGTTTCTGTCTCTCTTTCCCTCTCCCTTCCTCTCTGAAATCAATAAAAGTATATTTTAAGAAAACAAAAAAGAAACACCATTAGGATGGCCACGAGTTTCGGTCAATTATAATTCTTCTGCCCAGCTGAATGGTTTAGATCCTGTGGCATTTCTCTTTTCAGGCCTTTGGCTTAAAATCTAAATCCGTTTATCATGATGTAAATGATTTTACATGGTTATTGCACATTAATGCCACTTAGTAGGCACTTCATGATCGATTCAGGCGTTTTCAGAGACACATCTGCCAGCACTTTCAGGGGTGATACCAGGTTGTAGATGACAAATGTGTGTGTTCCTTCTGATAGACCTGCAGCTCCCCTTCCAGGGACCAGCCTGAGCCAGGCAGGACGAGGGAAATTGTATGGAATGCACTCCCTTCCCTGTGGGTCCTTTACCCTGCCCGGGAGGGCCGATGCATGCGGATGCAGCAAGCACAGAGGATGCAACAAGCACAGAGTGCCACAGGGCTGGGTGGGGTGTGGAAGAGGCCCCTGCGTGCTCTAGGACTCTGGGGAAAAGAAGAATGAATGTTCAGGGACCCGCCTTATTATGCCAGAGCCTAAAGAAAGGCCTCAGGAAAGAGCTGGTCTTTAGTTTTGTTCTAGAGAAAGAGAAATAACATTTCAAAAGAATATACCTTTGTTTTCATTCAGTCTCTTGTGGGTTAATAGGATAAATTCCTCTCAGACAGGAGTACATCCCACCTGTAGTGACTTGCCTGTCCTGTAGGTTTCTCTTCTTTCATGCTCAGTGGTTTCCTTCTTAGTTGCTTTTCTGTATGTAAACTGATTTCTGTGTATTTAGTGTTAAAGGGAATTGAAATCGTTTCCATTCATTTTATATCATTTTAGCCTTTTCTAGGCAAGAGTTTGAGAGACAGAGAACAAGCAAAATTACGAGAAATGTATTCACATGCTTACATAAATTCATTATTAAAAACCAGGCATGATCACCTCATACTTATTCTAAATGCTAACTTTAATGTGTTGCCACTAGATGTTTCTATATTTGTATGCAATTAAAACACTTCTTAAAGAATATATCTCAAGGTTTCTTTCCATAAAAAATAACCGTGGTGATGTGTTTTGAGTGCTAATGAGGTGCCAAGCCCTGTGCTAAGCTTTCCAAATGCATCATTTTATTTAATTCTTACCGCTCATGCGGTACGGATACTATGATTACCCCCTCTCTACAAATGAAGGCGTTGAGGTTTCGAAAGCTTATGTAACTTGCCCCACGGTGCCCAGTTGTAATTGGTGGGGAAAGAGACAGACCAGACAGTCTGTCCTGAGGTCTCTGCTCGTCACCTCTATTGTGCACGTGCAGAGGGAGGGCCCTTCCACACCCTCATTCCTTTAACAAGCAGCAGCCGAGCCTGCTGTGCTGGGAGCCGATGGAGGTGCTGGGAAGGAGGCAAATTCTTGCCCTTGCAGAGCTTGAATTCTAGTAAGGTGAGTCAGAACACCAACCAACACGATGTTTAGTGTGTAAGGTGGTGGTAAGTGATGAGGAGAAAGACAGCAGTGATGGGCGTTAGATGTTTAAATAGGGTCATCAAGGAAGGCCTCACTAGCAGGTGACATTGGAGCCAACCCCCGAAGGAGGAGGAGGAGGGACACACTTGGGTGTCAGATGGAAGGACTTTGCCGGCGGAGGGAACAGCGAGTGCAAAGTCGAGGTGAGGCAGTATGGGTGGTGCTTGCGGATGCTGAGCTGAGCTGTGACCAGCATGTGAGGTG